ACAACAAAGAACCAAGGCACCACAAAAAACATCAAAAACCACCCTTTGATGCACACGAAAGGAAGCTCCTCATAGAGTCTGTACAGAGACAAATTGGACCAGCCTTGGTTACTGTCATGTCAACTCACCTATTCTTTTGGGTAAATTGACTCCACAGACTTCTTTGCTCATGTCAAGAACATTTCTGGGCCGAGTTCCTGCAATCATATTAAACGGTACTTTTAGTGCTCATCAACTATTAATTACATTTAAATTAATCATACAATACACGTTTAAATGCCTATCCCCCCATACGTCTCTAAATGTCCATGGTCTTTCAAATAAATAATTTGGCATTGGACTCAAGCATTAAGTACGAAGGGGCAGCTGCAAATTAGCCGCAACGCACAATGATTGATTGTTTGGGGGATTACGCAAATAGTACCACTCGGTTTGCACCCCAACCAGAAAGTAATAAAGTTTTCTGTTCCACGAGAATAATATAGAGTAAAATATATGATATATGATAAAACACTGACAGAGACCTGCAACAGTATTTAACATACTGTGTGGAATGGAGAAGTGTACCCATTCAACACCTTTTCAACAAAGCTAACAGTGAGCCAAGTTTACATCACGGGCATCATTTACTCGGCCTCAAAAAAAATAACTGACAACTTGTGCACTGGAGCACAGCACACTAACCTCTTACATACAGCACTAACCGGAATGGAACAATTCAATATTCCGCACCGGAAACAATCAAGCACTATACCTTGCGATTAATATCGAAAAGCGGCGATGTCCACCCTAAAATTCTGATTAAGATCCAATGGCCAATTAAATGAGTAGGTATTATCGGTATTGAGCAGAAGACGCCGATCGTGTTTGTTTACGTTTCCATAAAGGCGCGGCAAATGCGGGGTGGGGATGGGGAGGAGGAGAGGGGTAGGCCTATTTCCTCACCATGTAAAACTTCTATTTTGTTTTGCCTCACCGAATAAATGGAACCAGGAAGAATTACTAATTTGCTGAACGTAAACGCGCTTGCACATTTTCTTCCTCCCGCTCGCTGTCGGAAGGCTCGTGATGGAGTCACGAACTGTGTCCCGCCTGCCCGCCCGCCCGGGAGGTATGCAACCCATTCGACACCAACCGCGAGGTGCACGTTGGTTTGCCTACTGCTCTTTGAGCAGGCGGAGAAGCCAGGGAAGTACGCCACAAACTCGTTTCAACTAACTTCAACGATGGCTAGCCAGGCTGGAACCAATATAAATTGACAAATGGTAAAAAAAAAATACATACATTTCCAGTAGTGTAAACGATCCCATCATGCTTGTCTACGTCTGCCCTGGGTGGGCTTAAGCCTCCGTGGAAAAATATGCCGGCTTAAAGTAGTAGTCTGGGCCGACTGTGGGAGCGGCTACCGAGCGGCCGCTGGCGGAGGAGGGGGACAAATTGTGGTCAGTAGTCGTCGACGAGAAGGACGGGGCACTAGTCGCTCATGGTGGCACCGGAGCACGGCGAACAGTGCGACGGTGTGGCGGCTTTGTGACACTTAGTGACACTTTTGTGACAGTGACGTGGCGGGCTTGACTAGCGATGGCCGCCATTAAATACCCTCTTGTGCTGGTCGCTGCGTTGGCTGTCGGGCTGTCAGTCGCCTCCGACCAGGAGCTCCTCGACCAGCCCCTGGACCAACATGTTGGCGTAGAGGACCGCGATGACACCGTGACGACGTGGCTGCCGAGGGAGCTGGAGCCCCTGCACTACAGGTAACGTGAGCCGACGGGTGGTGCTTTTTTGGTTATTTATTTTCTTTGCGTCCAAACGCAGTTGACCTTGTGGGTCGCCGGGTGGGGGTTCAAGGGTCACAGAGGATGTAGCCTCGCTCAACAGGTAGGCCGCCGGGGGGTCACTCTGGGCCCGCGGGAACCCGGGAAAGGGTGGGGGGCTTGAGGCTTGCCGGTCATTGACTTGTCGATCGTTGAATGCGCCAAAGTTAAGCGCCAAGTTCTCATGGCATTTCTTTCTCCACCAGGGTGCGCATTCAGCCCCAGTTCCTTGATTCCAACTTCACCTCCCCCGCTGACCTGGAGTTCACGTTTCGGGCTCGCGCCCCTACGAGCAGGGTCGTCGTCAACGCGCGCAACCTTACCATCGACGAGGGATCCGTCGTCGTCGAACAGGTACGGCCAGGGTGCTCTGGGCTTGCGTGGCGTGAACGTGAACACCCCTCATGCATCCTACAACTCACCCCTACTGATTGTGCAGGAAGGGCCGCCCGGGCGCTGGACCCCGCTGCCCCTGCTGGGCCATGTCCACGACGCGACCCTGGAGACGTACGCCGCCGAGCTGCAGGCGCCGCTGCGGCCCAGCAGGCAGGAGAATAGGCGAGCCATCCGATACCGCCTCAAAATGAACTACACGGCCCTGGTCGGCGAGAACCTCAAGGGCCTGTACCGCACCTCGTACCTGGACGATAACAACAACAAGAGGTGAGGGCGCCGCCGGCGGTCCAGTCGCGTCCCCGCGGAGGGAGGGTCCTTGTGTGCTCTGATCCTCGCGCCCTGCTCCAGGTGGATCGCGCTGACCCAGCTGCATCCTACAAACGCACGCGCCATGTTCCCGTGCCTGGACGAGCCCCAGTACAAGGCCAGGTTCACCCTGAGCGTGGCGCGCCACAAGGACCACACCAGCGTGGCCAACATGCCCGTCAGGACCACCGAACCCATGTAAGGGGTTGCGAAGCGCAAAACATAAGAATCACCAGTCAGAGCCGAGTCGTTGACCCCGTGACCCCGCGACAGTGTGGCGCTGATTGTCTCTTGCCTTGCAGGGCCGGCTCCAGCGACTGGATGTGGGACCACTTCGAGACGTCCGTGCCCATGTCGTCGTACCTCATCGCCCTGGCCGTGTTCGACTTCGGCAAGCTCGAGTCGACGGCCGACTTTTCCGCGCCTCCGCCGCCGCCCGCAGCCGCCCCGACGACGGCCGGCCTGGCCAGCAGCAGGAATGCGACGCGCGCCGCGGTGCGGGACGTGTCGTTTCGCGTGTGGGCGCGGCAAGCCGACCTGGCCCGGGGCGCGTACGCGGCGCACGTCGGCCCGCCCGTGCTCAAGTACTTCTCGCGCATCTTCAACATCTCCTTCCCGCTGGTCAAGCTGGACATGATTGCGGCGCCCAAGCTCTTCTACAATGCCATGGAGAACTGGGGGATCATCACCTTTAGGTGAGTCCTGACCCTCTGCGCTCACCCACTCACCGCGCCGGCCCGTCTGCTGCGTGCGCTCACCAACCATACCTGCACAGGGAGGGCGCCCTGCTCGTGGACGAGGCGGACATGGGCAGCAGGCACTACGTGGCCACCATCGTGGCGCACGAACTGGCTCACCAGTGGTTCGGCAACCTGGTCACTATGCGCTGGTGGAACGACGTCTGGCTCAACGAGGGCTTCGCCACCTACATGAGCCAGCTGGGCGTGAGCCATGTGGAGCCGCAGTGGCGCAGCGAGGGCATCTTCGTGCTCGAGAACATGCAGGTATGCGCGCCGAGCTCGCCGCCGCCGCGCCGCCCGAGGGGACCCAGGTTGACGTTCTCTTCCTCCAGGGCGTGATGCAGCTGGACGCGCTCCCCTCCTCCCATCCGGTGTCCCGCCAGGTGCACCAGGTCGCTGACATCGGCAGCATCTTCGACGCCATCTCCTACAAGAAAGGTGAGCGGTAGGCCGTGCGGGAGGGAGGCTCCCGACCGAGGGCACGCGCTGCTGGTAGACTCAGTGCTGGTCGTGTCGCAGGCTCCTCCCTGGTGCGCATGATGAGCGAGTTCCTGGGGCCCCGCGTCTTCCAGCACGGCCTCAACACGTACCTGCGCAAGCACGCGTACGCCAACGCGGCCCAGGACGACCTGTGGGCGGCGCTCACGGACGCAGCGCGCGGCGCGCACGCCCTGCCCCGCGGCCAGTCCGTCAAGAGCATCATGGACTCCTGGACCCTGAGGACGGGCTTCCCCGTGCTGACCGTCACCCGCGACTACGGTGCGGGCACGGCCAAGGTTGCACAGGAGCGGTTCCTCGTCGCCACCAACGCCAATGAATCAAGTAAGTAATCGGAGGGAAAAAAAACAGCGCTTGTTCGCGGTCAACTGAAATTGACTCCAATTAGAAGTACATACACGACTATTTTATCACTGTTAGCTGCCCCCGTGGCCCAGGGCGAAGCGGCCTGTTGCTGGGGCGTGCCGCTGTGGGTCAAGACGGTTCCGCTCTGCAGCAACAGAACCACCAGCGGCTGCAACAGTAGCAGCACAGAGGTAAAGCAACCAAGTGACAGCCAAAGACATCATTTTGATACAAAATAAATTGACATCGAGTCCAGAAGGTGTTTGTTCTTTGCCTGTTTGTGGTACAACCTTTATTGATTTCTCGGGACCAATAGGAGCTCCTGTGGCTGCTGCGCGCCGAGGTGACACTCGCCGGACTTCCCCCTGGTCCCGGGGGTCTCCTCCTCAACGGCGCGCGCGCCGGCTACTACCGCACCAACTACGACGCCACCAACTGGGCGATGCTGACCGAGTCGCTGGACTCGCTGACGGACCTGGAGCGCGCCGGGCTGGTGGACGACGCCCTGGCGCTGGCCGGCGCGGGCCGCCTGGGCTACGACGTGCCCCTGGCGCTGCTGCAGCGACTGCCGCGGGACGCGCCCTCGCTCGCCTGGGTGGCCGCGCTCCCCTGGCTCGCCAAGCTCACCCACCTGCTGCACGGCGTGCCTGCCGGCGGGGCTGCAGGTGGGGCTCCTCAGCTCTCCTCGCGTTAGTGCGCAAGGCTTGTATCATCCACTGATCGGCTGAACCCTCGTGGCGCAGGTTCCGGCGGGGACAACGCGTTCACCCGCTGGGCCCGCGCGCTGGCCGGCGACTTGCTGCGCGTCAGCGAGGGGTTGCGCCTCTCCACTGACCCCGTGGACCACGCCTTCGTGTCGCGCGTGCAGCTCTGGGCGTGCGGGCTGGGCGTGCCCGGCTGTCTGGGGACCACGGGGCCCAGCCGCGAGGCCCGCCAGGGGTAGGTCCAATACCGCTACAATCAAGATATTTTGACATTTTCCTTGAGAACTTTTTGGTATCCGAGTGATGCTACTTTATATCCAAACCCTGTTACCTTTCAATTTCCACCTCAAGCCGAATGAATACATCACCTTTAATTTCCTTTCTTTCTCAGGTTTGACGCCTCTGTCTTGTGCAAAGCTCAGAAGACTGAAAAAGAGTGGGGAGATGTGCTGTCAAAATATTTGTCGGAAAATCCTGCCTTTATTCCAAAGTTGGCAGAGTGTATTCAAAGCCAGGAGGCAGCAAAAGGGTAAACATAATGAAGCGGATTATATCCTGATTGTTTGAATTGAGTGAACTTAATTTTCTTCTCAATGCAGGATGCTTGAGCTTGCGGCATTGGAGACAAATCATGAGCAGCTAACTGAAGATTTGCTTGAGAAACTGACAGCAAATCCTTACTCCTACAATGCTGTTGTAGATTTCCTAAAGGATAATTGGATGCAGCTCCAGGCTAAGTGAGTGGACTTTAAACTTTTAATCCCATCCCAGACAATGTTTTATCTATGAGAGCAAAATGCATGCTATTGTGCAATGAGGCTATAATATTAAAAATTTGTTTTTTCAGGTTTGGAACAATTGATGATGAGATTGCTAAAAGTATATTACCATATGTAAAAAATGAAAACCAGATCATCCAGGTAAGTTGTTTATATGACCCTAGCCATGATTATATTGATTACCAATAACTTTTTCCATTTTGCAGTTGGAAAAAATGATATCTTCAAAGAAAAATGGCCACCTAATGAATGAAGGTAAACACAATGTATGGTGGCTCCAATATCAAGCTGAGAAGTTATTAGAAATGGTCAACAAACTAAAATTATGAAACCAACCTAGATTTAATGAAAAATTTGTTTGTAGGAATAAGAACTGAAATCTTTGACTTTGTATTATTATTTTATAAATTCCATATAAAAGTCTGACATAGACTAGATACATCAAAGTCCCCCTGGAAAAATTTGACATTCACAATACATACTTACTTTTAAGTAATATACAAAAGATGAAAACAACCACATATATTATGTAAAATGGCATAAAAGTGCTGAGACCGTTTGAGAATACAGGTACAGTTTAAAATTTAAAATAAATATCTGAGTTGCCTAAACTAAATTTTTGCACACCAAATAACACAAAGTACGTAGGTTGTCCATATAATAGATAAATCTAGGTTAGACCCTTGATGATAAGGTCAAAATACTATGATGCTCCTTCAATGGCAACTTCTGTTTCACCACGGGCATAAAACTCTCCTTGTTCCATAAATTGTCTAAGTTGATCTAAAACATCTGGACTCATGACGGTAGATGAAGAAGGACTTGCAACTAAACTTCTGACCACTTCAAATTTGGCATCTTTACAAGATTTAACAGATTCTGTTAAACGATCCATAAGATACTCCACAACCCCTGTAATTGAAATTTAAATATTAATCTCATTATAATCTTCCAGACATGACATAGATAATAAAAATTATTTCCTTTTATACCTGGCGCTCGCACAATGTATTCCTGTCCCCACGGGTTGGTTGCAAGAACATGCATTAGCTGGAATCCTGCCAATCTTGTTTCTGGAAAAGGCTGGCGGCACAAAGCCATAACAAAATCCATTGGCTGAGGAGATAATGCTTCAAACCATCTTTTGGTCATAGACAATGACTGATTATTTTGATCTGATACCTGCAATATCCATAAAATGAATTCACAACAAGAACATATTATCTACCTAATAGTCAAGCATTAAGGAACATTTCCACTTACATTAAGTTGTAAAATATTCGCAATTGTGTTGAGAAGTCGAACTTTCATTTCAATAGGGAGAGAGGGCAGTTTTTCAACCATTTTACGCATGGTTTCAGGAAGCCTTGTCCCTGTAAAATTAGATGGTTCATTAATTTCTAAAAGATTGGCACTAGAGCAAATTAGATTTAATGCGAATTATACAAGTACTCACCAAGTGACTGAAGCATGTATTTTCCTTTTAGAGTGGTGGCAATGAATCCCAAAGTTTCCATCCCTGTACCTACAACAGCTAAGTCACTCGCATCTAAAGTATCAAACATCATAGAAACTAATGAGGGGAATCTCTTTATCATTTCATCTGGCTTTGACTGAGCAACATTTCCAAAGAATTTAATGAGACCTGAAATATATTAATTTGATGTTAAATATACATCATGACACAAAATATTATTTTCCAAACTGATTAACACTTGAGAAAAATTTTACCTGGGACTAAAAATGATGACAGGGGATCATTTTCAGAGTTTGATAGTTTCTCAGCAAGAAAATCAAGGATACCCTGCTGATCCAAAAAGACTAAACTGTGCTGCTTGAGAGCAAGGGTGGTTGTCATTTCTAAAACATTAAGCTGGGCTAATACATCATCTCCTTTCAGTTCAGAAAACATTCCACCCAAAAATCCACTATTTTGGCTGGCTCTGAGACCTTCATCACTTTCAACTGATACAGCAACCACAACCTGAAAATGTTGACAACATCATTCATTAACATCCATGATAAAATAGTAAAAAATAATAAGCAGGTTAGGTTCAGTAAAAATACTTCCTAGACTGAAAAGTACACTCACCTCATAAACTCTAAAACGAACAATGTCTCCTTTGCTGCTTGCAGTTTGAAGTGCTTGCATAGTAACAGGGGAGTATAAAGCTGTCAACCCTGCTGGACTTGAGCCTAGATGCTTGAGCAATGAGATAGCATACCGTGCAACAGACAATTCCTCAAGACACAGGCAGTCTACAATGCACACTAAAAGGTCTTGTTCAGCACTCAACCTTTCCACCATATCCACACGGCCAGTGACTGCACGATCCAACTAGGAGGAAAAAATGTAAATGAGTAAAGACAGGAACCATCACATTTTGCTACAGATAAAAATAAAGATACACATTCACCTCTCGTAGGACGAGCTCCTTCGCCCGAGGTGAAGGATGAATCAAAGTATGTTGGATTTGCTGTCCATACTGCGCTAAGACGACACTGGGTTCCAAGGCTCCCAACAATTTCCCCAAAACATCACATGCCAGTTCCAGCTGTTCCCTAAAATCATGTAAAAAAAAAACATAATTAAAAACAGCAGATACACTGGATTCATATTGAGAAGGATTGCTGTGATAGAATCCTAACCTACGAAATCTGATACTTTGAGCAAGAATCGCTCATAAATGCAACAAAGCTTGCCATAAAACTACTCGAAGTCAAGAAGAATTTAAGTACTTACTTCTCGTTGGTGTTCAGAGTGTCAAAAATAACAGCCAAGGGCAGGACATTAGCAACTGTGGTGACATCTCGAACACTGAGGCCGCAGAGACCCACCTTGAGCTCAGACAAAAGCTCTCGCCTGGAATCACTGACAGCTATTCTATCGACTGTCTGCTTAAACCAATCCAAATTCGTTGCCATCTTCAACAGAGGAAAAGGGCGACAATATATCGGCAGGTACGAAAGGTGATGGAGCAAAATAAGCACAATTAACGCTGAGTTGTGGGCGGTGTTTTCAGTGAATGACGGGGGGTTTGTTGATGACGGCGCTACCAGCCTAAAACAATAGCCACACAAACTTTAACAATATTGTCATCCTTAGACCCGCTGGCCAATCACGCGAAATAAATTAATTTCAATAATTCCACTGATTGGAAAATGATTTTGATGGGCAAACGCTGTAGGAATACGAAATAACTGGACAATACTGGTTGTTGGGTAAGTGTGGTAGGGTTGACGCCCTGTCATTCTTTTGTAGGACGGTGCTGCTGATTGCCACTGGGAGCGCTAGTGGGCCGAGCTGAGGTGGGCGGGAGAGGGTAGGGGTAAGGGAGAGGTGCTGGATGGGCTGCCTACCAGCACGGCGGTACCGCCCACTTCAGACGAGAAGCATTCGCCAGGATGGTCGTGGTCACAAGTGGCTGATTAACCCCGCGCACTTCTGAAGTTGGACTGTACCGCACGCCGGAAAGGCGGGCGGGCTTGCCTATCGCCCCTGTCCACGGCGCCTTACGGGCCGGGCGAGTAGGCAACCCGCCCGCGCTCGTGCGTGCGGTACAGTCTAACGACAGAAGTGCGCGGAGTCAATCAGCCACCTGGTACGTACTTCAGCTACTTTCCAACAGTCCATGGACTACGCGTGAGCCCCCCACCCCACCCCACGCCGATCACGCAAAGGAAAGCACTTTCAAATACAAACCCCTCTCAGACAAAAATAAAATAGAGGTACGTGTGATGGCCGCTTCCATTCTGAGTGGCCAGAACACTATTCTTGCGTACCTCGACCCTATCACCATAAACTGCGGAGCCAACGGAAGGCACAGCGTGTGTTTAGGACTACCTGGTGCTACTTGTCCTGCCCTCGATACGTTGTGCGAACGTACTTCCACGTTTTTACTCGTTCTTTACCTCCATTCTCACTACCCTCTCGGAGGTGGAAGAACGAGTATTGTGCTTGGTCTGGTGTAATTTAGTCTCTCGATTCATCTCAGTAACCACAACACCTACAACTATGCCAAATGTATCAAACTGTAGGTCTTGGCGGCCTAACCAATCAATAATAGAGGTTTTTTTCGGTTTATTACGCAAAATTTAAAGAAATTTCAGAAATAAGGTCGACAAAATCACCGGTCGAGCGTGCGTTTCGGATGGTTTTTCTACACGGACAAATATCTTAATAGAGATAAGTTTTACCTAAAAAAAAATTGGCTAAACAACTAAAAATAGGCTAGCCGTTAATGTTTCAACTTAAAACAATCATATTATAAACTTTTTTGGTTCTCATAATGATTAAAACCTATCTCAAATGAAATTCTTCTAACACGAAAAAAACAATCAAGCGCATGCGCGAACAGCGCCATCTATTGAGAAAAGCTAAAACTGCGTCGGCGCGAAAAGTTTTGAAGAGCGGTCATTAACAACAATGATCTTTCTGTTTTCATTTCATAATCACACCAGACCAAACTTGGGTAAAGAACGAGGTTTCTCCTAATGTATCAAACATGTTTGATGCCCTGATGCTCTTCTTGTTGTTATTGTAGTTTCTCAATGGCTCGGATGAAGATGCCTGCGCCATGTCGTTTGTAGCTACAACTGTGAAGCTACATTTACTCTATGGAATAGGCAACCCGCCCGCACTCGTGCATGGCGGTCTGCCGCTGTGGGCGGGGAGCGCACAAGCCACCTGGTACGACGTGATCGAAAATACTATAGTATAAAACGCATCGCCTGTATGCGCCTAGACCGTTGGCTCAGAGGCGCTCAGAGACCCTGTTGGCGTGCTATCGGAACTGCCTGCGTGCGTGCGTGGTGGTCATAGGAATGGGGAAGTCCCAGCGTGAAACAACCGTCGAAACTATGTCGAAACATTCACCTCCATCGAGTCGTCGTGTTCCCCTAATCGATTTAAAGCGCATTTGAGGTACCCGTCAAAAACCACCAACTAAACTGGCCGAAACTGAAGAGGACGCGGTGTGAAAATGTTTGAGCGCGGAGGAAACGTTTTCAGGCGAGGTTGTGGTGAATCAACAGATCTCCCTCGATTATTTGTCTGTCTTTCTCTGACCCATCGCATTCATATACGGCTGTCAGGTGCGCTGTCAGGCCGGCTGGGGGCCTGGCTGAGCGGGCTGAGCCACGCTGAGTCGGATTCGATTCATATTAGTCCTTTGTCAGACCTGGCTGAGAACCAGAATGATTTATATGGAAATATTACAAAAGGAACGAAAGCGGGCGTCCAGAGAACGGCTGTGGGGCGGGGCGGCGAGCCCCGGCAGCCGCCCCCGGGGATCACGGGGTTGAGGTGAGGATCAGATCAAGGAGGTGTGGAGGTGGAGGTGCGGGCGGCGGATACGGCGGGGTCGGCGGACACGCTGGAGAGAGAGGTAGAGAGCAAGGGTTTTAACGAGTGTAGGACGGCGCGGAGACAAAATAACGAATCGGCGCGAAACAAAAACACCGCGATCCGATTGTCAACCCTTTGCTTATTCGTACTGCCTGCGGCGGCGGCGCGGTGCGGTTAGCGGCGGCGCGACTCGGCGTGGCGTTTCTTGCGCCTCGCCTGATAAATTCCAGCCGGTGCACGCACGCCCCGCCCCGCCCCGTGATGCCGGCCGAAGCGAAGCGAGCCGCGCGCAGCCGAGCAGTGGGAAATAAAACCACGATGAACAAGTAATAAAGAATGGGAAGCAACACCTCGGAGGAGTTCGTGGGCTGTAAGCCGAGCGGAGCCTGGCGCGGGGCCTGGCGGGGCCGCCGCCGCGTCCAGATCTGGCCAACCCGATCCAGACCCTCTGATTTACGACCGTGCGCGTACCCCCCCCCCTCCTCTCGTCTCACCTGGAATACTCTTCTTCTTCCTTTTTGTCGCAGGGACAAGAGGAGCCGAGTCGGACGGCAAATCCTGACAAGAGAGGCCTGTGTGCGGCCATCCCGTCGTCGTCGTCCCGGCCCGTCCAGCGAGGCTGAGGCTGCTGCTGCATGGCAGTCGTACTTCTTCGTATAATCGCGTTACTTCCCTCGTGATTCGCCGCTCGTCGAGCCTCGTGAGAGGAGATCGCGCACGACGGGACGGGAGGAAGAGGGGCGCGGGGGCGAAGCGGGAGGGGGAAAGCGTTTACCCGCCGCGGATCCTTAAAGCGAACAGCAACAATAACACGAACGAGAAGAAAAAAGAATAAATTTTTATTGAGGTGGAAGGTGTCGGGCGGCTAATACATGACGCGTAATATATCTGCGGTCAAGTCACGGCGCGTCTTGATGTAATCCCACAGCCAATCGCCCCCCGCCCCGCTCCCCTGCCCTCCCCGGTCCCGCCCCTTTTACACCTCGAGCTCACGCAGGGATGGGGCCAGCCTTTAGGCCAGCCGGGGCGCATTGTGCCCGAGGGCCCCACGGGGGGCGAGTACCGCGCGCGGGGCCCGGGGGGCCCTCCTGCGGGGCCTTCAGGGGCCTTACGAGGGCCGCAGGGAGCCAGCCGAGGGGCCAAGAGAGAATAACTTTAGGACCGAGATATGGTCAATAGTAGCTGTATACAAAGAGGATCCAAAATATTCCGAGGTTTAGTACCGCACCCCGGTGACTGTGCGACACAGGCCCGGGGCTCTCCATGGGCCGTTGGGCTCTCACACGGGCCAGGCAGGCCATTGTCGGTGCAGGTACGCGTTCGCATTCCATTCCGTTCCATACCTCACGCAGCACGTACCGCGCCGCGCCCCGGCACTGTATATCGCCTCGGATCTGATTGGTGTTCCTTCGCCATAGAAACGGACGTGGGCGACGGACCCGGCGGACTGTATACGCGCGAGTGCGGTGCGGAGTACGCATATGTGAGTCTGGGGCGCACACAGCTCCGGCTCTGCGTGCAGCAGCGGCATTGGGCGTGCTGCTCCGATCCCCTACTCCAGAACGAACGACTCTAAGGGCGAGTTGGTTCGTGTAGGTTCTGCGCGGGCTCCGCTATCCGCCTTGGCAACGTCACATCTCCACGACGAGGCTGCGCTGTGGCTGCAGCAGGGTGTCTATTCATACGTCCGGATGATGCATGATGTGCGGCGGCCTCCCTCCGCGCACCGGCGAACAAATTATCCTTGATTGCCTCCCCCTCCCCTCCCGCACCCGCCCGCCCCTCCTCCGCCCGCACCCCCGCTGCGCGCGGGGCGTATTTCACGCGGGGATGTCTCCCCGGGCGTAACTTTGGGCCGCAGCAGCAGACATGTGTATGGTCACGGCCGCATTGCCTTCCCAGTCGGAATTAATAAAAGTTTATCTCTTCTCCTCGTCGTCGTCGTCGTCGTCATCGTCATCCTCCCGAGTCGCTTCGAGGGGAGGAGGAGGAGGTGGTCATCTCTCTATTATTGCTATGCTCCCGGCCCAAAGGGGGAATAAAAACGGTGAGAGCCGCGCAGCGGCATCGCTCGGACTCCTAGGAAGGAGGACTCCCGCCTAGGACAAGAAATTTATATGCTTGGCGTTTGGAATTGAGGACGCTATGCCGCTGTATAGTGTCCAGGTGAGGGGTGAGCCCAGAGGCCAAGAGGGTCGTTATGGCGACAAACGCTCCACGGCAATCAACGGACGGTATGGATCGCGCGTCCGTCAGGATGGGCGCCGGGATGCACTTCTGGGCGAATTGGGAATGGCAGAGGGACTGCGGCTGCGGCCATTCCTGGTTGTGTCCGAATTCTCAAACATTTCGCCCCAGACGGAACAGACGGATTGCTCTGCGGCCGTTGCGAGCCGCGCCCGCCGCTCTAGACAGCCAACCCCGGGACCTGACCTGAGCTGTCCTTCTCGCGATGTCCTCGCTAGTTTCCCCCGCTGCGGGGTAGCTCGCGAGTCACCCCCGCGGATCACCCCCGTCGGGGGGATCTATATCCTCGCGACCCGCGGCCTGTCATCTCGCGGGGCACTCGCGTTCGCGGTCCTCGCGGCGTCGCGAGTGTTGGTATCAGCCAAAAGTGACTGGCGCGACTCGCAACGGCCGCAGAGCAATCCGTCTTGTTCCGTCTGGGGCGAAATGTTTGAGAATTCGGACACAACCCAGGTGCTC